TACATTAAAACTCAATGTTCAAATAAGTGTCTCACCATTTTATTGATTACTGCTGTTGTACTTTTGTATTTCACCCAGAAATCTTGACAAAAATACAATATCCGCATTGACTTCAGTGTCTTTATCTGTATTTCGGGAGTAGAAAAAAAAACATAAAACAGCAATACTTCTCCCTATTTATGATTTATATATCAAGTATTTAATTGCCTTTCAGTTGGACACAAAAAAAAAACAAATTTAAATTGTAACTGTGTGTTTGCTTGCGTGAACAATCGGAAGGCATTGCTCTTGCAGTGCATCCATTTTGTTTATTGATCTTAACATTCAGGCCCTGCAAAGGTCTGACTTTTGACGATCACTTGGACAAATCGCTGACAAGTCACGACGACCAATGGCAAGGAATGCAAATTACTTCCATGCATTGAATCGCATTCATTTGCATCTGCTGCTATTTCATTCACGTCACATTCACATTTGAACAATTTTGTGACCGCGTTGCAAGAAACCAGAGCTCGTTTTTTGTCTGCATGAATTTGAATGCAAACGGTAAAATGTCAAACGTCGTGACCGCTTCTGGTGTGTGTGGATGGAGACCAATCACTGACAGCTGGCGTCAATCCTTCACGCGTGTCGTCATTCTGTCTGTCCGTCCGCTTGGGCGGTGTCCGTTCGTCCCGCACGCCCATTGAAGGCCTCCGGTGTGGGCCCGAGCCCCCCCCCCCATGCCCCCCATCCTTTCATCGCATCAAAAGCAATTCCCAAATGTGTATTTGATGCCGTCCAAACAATCAACCTTGTATTTTGTCTTCTTTTTGATGCTAGTCACCAAGATACAAAAAAGTTTTAAAACACCAATCAGATTTCTTACATTAAAACTCAATGTTCAAATAAGTGTCTCACCATTTTATTGATTACTGCTGTTGTACTTTTGTATTTCACCCAGAAATCTTGACAAAAATACAATATCCGCATTGACTTCAGTGTCTTTATCTGTATTTCGGGAGTAGAAAAAAAAACATAAAACAGCAATACTTCTCCCTATTTATGATTTATATATCAAGTATTTAATTGCCTTTCAGTTGGACACAAAAAAAAACAAATTTAAATTGTAACTGTGTGTTTGCTTGCGTGAACAATCGGAAGGCATTGCTCTTGCAGTGCATCCATTTTGTTTATTGATCTTAACATTCAGGCCCTGCAAAGGTCTGACTTTTGACGATCACTTGGACAAATCGCTGACAAGTCACGACGACCAATGGCAAGGAATGCAAATTACTTCCATGCATTGAATCGCATTCATTTGCATCTGCTGCTATTTCATTCACGTCACATTCACATTTGAACAATTTTGTGACCGCGTTGCAAGAAACCAGAGCTCGTTCTCTTTTATTGCTATTCAGCATATATATCTACAGATTTTTTTCCCCCCTCATTGCAAAGAACTTTGCCTTGAGTCAAGTTGAGGAATTTCCAACTGGGTCCACAATGGTGTGTGTGCGCGTCTGGTGGGTGGCCAGGAAACAGCAGCTAAAGGTATACACACACACACACACACACACACACACACACACACACACGCGCGCGCGTGCGCACACAAAACATTCTCTGTCGAGAATAACACAATATGAATTTGAGCTAACTCTCTTGCTCTACTGCTGGCTCGTCAAAATTTATGTTGACGTTTATTCTCTGCCAAGACACACTGCAGAGTAGATTAGAGATCACATAAACAGGAATTTATAAATATGCTCCAGGAAGTTCTACTTTTAGTTTCATGTGTTTCTATTTATTTGTTTAGAAATGACTGCTGGTAGAATGCAAATGAGATCAAAAGTAAAGCTTTTAGGGTCTGATTTAATTTATCTCTTCATGGCACCATGTTTTTACTTCCAGGAAGGAGCTCCAGTATGATTCAGGCGGATCAGTTCTGATGAAATAAAGTGACCACTGCAAAATTATCAGTTTATGTTAACAAATGCCAGGCCAAGAAACCGAAGTATGTGTTTGTCATTCTCTGCAAATGTCAACGCGAATAATTTGTGACACACGCACAGCAAGTCCCATCCTTGATTTAGAAATCCTTCAGTTCTTCTTTTGTTTGTTGATCTAATCTTGCAGGGTCTCATTGTTTCCCAGCACTGTGTATTCAGTACATATCCATATTCCCAATGTTGTGGTTATATTGAACATAAATCCACCCATTTAGTTCCCGGTTTTGTTTTTATTCCCCTAATTACATTCTTCAAACTTTTTCTTCCTTCCTGTTTGTGCTCCGTGTCTAGAGCATTCTGCCTTTCTCTCGCTCCATTTTTTTTTTTCCAGAAGCATGCAAGAGCACAATTGTGAGCTTTTCCATACAAAAGCAGTCATATTTATCCTTGCGGTTTTCCAAACATTTATTTTTGGTTGTCTTCAGGGACAACACATCTGCGGGAAAAGCGAGCTCGCCCGCAACTGGTGCTTTCCCTGCGAGAATCATCATCGCCTGCGTAAAAATAGTAAGGTCTTTTCTGGGCAGTGGAATAAAAAATTGGTGAGTTCCTCCTGTGGGTGCTGTTTTCGCTTTCTCCTAGAAGGACAGCGGACAAATGGACCAGCGCCACTGTCATTCATTTTCTTTGTTTGTTTTTGCTATCGTGCCTTCTGAATCTCCCGGCCATTTGCACCGATCACAACTGTAGAGTAGCAACAATTTTAGAGTATTTTTTAAAAAACGTTTTTTCCACAAAATATTTTCCCCCTCCCTTCTTAGACACAGTTTGACTGTTCGAATGTATGCTTCAGATTGTCCGGCAAAAAGTCTGTTGACTGTTGTACCGCCACTCTGACAATTAAATTCCCATCACCCACACTGTAAAGAGTCGGCAAACGGGATTTTCACTCTAAAGTGGTGAATCGCTCCTCTCTGCTGGCTCATTACCACTCCCCAAAATTCTTGCAATTTAAAGGGCCAATGCATCAGACTCATATCGACCCCCTCCCAATGGAAAAAAAACCCCAAAATGTAGCAAACGACATAACTCGACCTTTGCACTGAATGTTTTGACGCTAATTGTCACCTTAAACTGTCCTCGGGATTTAATGGGCGGAAAACAGATTTTGGTTTGGTACCTGACAACAACAACATCAACGTCAACATGAAAAGATGAGAGGATGAACAAAATTCTCATTCTCCTCCTGGACTTGCAAGACATCATTGAAGGATGTGAGTGGGTTGAGAGGAATTCTAGGACTGGCGAGGATCTCCTGCTTTCCTTCCATACCATGGTTTGACCTATTTTTTTTTTGACATTCTTCTTGATTCCGCAATCAACTGCTACTACCGTTGTGCCTACAGTCATCCAAGGCTTCTATGACTTTGTAGGGATTCATACAGCCAAAGCCTCTTTCCGTTCACCAACTCAGTTTGCTGCATTTGTTGGCCCTATTCGCCCCAGTTTTGGTATTTGTCTTTTCTTGACAAGAATCGTCCCAAGTCACCCCTCCACCTTGGGCATGATTGACATCTAGGTGTATTTACAGCACATATCACTTATCATTACTGTCGAGTATTTTCTGTACATTTTATGTAAAGAAGGTGGAAGGGTTAAGGGTTATTATTTTTTTTTCTTTCAAGACATAACACTGTCTCTATATCGCAGTTTTCCACATAGGTGTCAATAAGGAAACACAGCCGTGATGAGGCGAGCAGCTACTGTGGGAAAGGGACTCAACAGCTTTTTGTCTGGTTTGCTTCAGGGCTGCTTCTACCAAGTCACGACGACCAATGGCAAGGAATGCAAATTACTTCCATGCATTGAATCGCATTCATTTGCATCTGCTGCTATTTCATTCACGTCACATTCACATTTGAACAATTTTGTGACCGCGTTGCAAGAAACCAGAGCTCGTTCTCTTTTATTGCTATTCAGCATATATATCTACAGATTTTTTTCCCCCCTCATTGCAAAGAACTTTGCCTTGAGTCAAGTTGAGGAATTTCCAACTGGGTCCACAATGGTGTGTGTGCGCGTCTGGTGGGTGGCCAGGAAACAGCAGCTAAAGGTATACACACACACACACACACACACACACACACACACACACACACACACACACACACACACAGAGCAGCAGCCGTTGCCTCGGGAAACGCTAATGAATATGGAGTGACGCGCCGGCGTTTTTGTGCGCGGCAAACGCAACCAGATGCGGCAGATGTTGCCGACATGAAAGCTCTCAGGTAGCGGCGAGCGCGGCCCGCAAACACGCCATCACGTAACCCGACCCCCATGTGCCGGCTCATCGCTAATATGGGCGATGTGTGTCATGATCATACGCGACGGCCACGCATGGAAAAGAGCTCGGCGGTCATGGGAAAATGAAGGCCAACCAGTCGGGGCCCAGACGCAACAAGGAAGCAGGCGCGCCTCAAGGACATCTCACGACACCAAACGCAACTCCTCGCCTTCACTTCCTGCTTCGAGGAACTCGTCCACCTTTCGTTCCACCTTCGGCACATCTCGCCGGCCTAATTGCATTTCTCTCCACCTATATTTGCAGCACAAACACCGAGCTACTCGATGTGCACTGCAAGCACCCATTGTCACCTTTATTTCCGCCTGAAAAACGCCTCTGCACCTTTGGTTGACACCTTGAAATTACAACAGCAGTTCATTCCCCGCCCTTCTGTCATCCTTTTTTGGCTGAAACCTGCCTGTTCACCTTTGTTTATGGCAAATTTCCCAATGACCTTTCGTCACCCCTGTCGGTCCCCTCACAACAATTTTTAACCTTCATTTCCAGCTTCACCACGGCTATCCATATTCGAACATGCTGCTCATGCTTTGAACGCATCCGGTTGGACACGTTTTTTTTCACGTTTTTACCGAATGTACGCCCTATTGCACAACCAAACAATCGGGAGTCCATCGCGACTCTCCTCCGAATGGAAATGTGCCCTTCGGCCTTCGCGTCGAAGTGTTTCGAACCCTCTCGCTCGCCGTAGGAGCTGCGCTCTGACGTCACCGGCCCCGCCTTTGCGCATCGTCAACATGGCGCTGCCGGTGCGGGCTTCCCTCGCGCCACATCTCCTTCTCAGTTTCTCCGGGAGGTTTCAGCGAGTCCACCCGAGGTTTCTGTGCGACGGCGGCACGTCGGAAAACGAGGTAAATACAGACCTTGGTCTTGTCCGCGTTGCGTGTCGACAAGGCTGTTTCTTTTCTTGGCTCTTTTTCCAGCCTTTTCACCTCCCTCCGCTCGTTGCCCTCCCCAGTGGGAGAAGCGCGAACTGGTCATATTTTTGTGTCTACGCTTCACGGTCAGCGCTTGTGTTTGTGTCAGATCTGCACGGCTAATTTTCGTCTCAATTGGACTTTGAACGGTACTTCGGAGCAAACTACTTGGAGGCAATTTCATGTGTGCTTGTGTTTGTATATATGTGACGACTACAAATAGTTGACTTGTCCGTACTAGCGTTCGAACGTCCTGATTACATTTTCTTAGGCTACAATTGAAGTTATTTCTCAGTTTTGATCATGGGCTGCTATCATCCCTCCCACCCGATAGCAGCCCATCACATACGTACTAACTTTCTCCCTTTGGACCGTGCAGGTTGGCAGATCTTTTTCTTCTTCTTCTTCTTCAAAAAAAAAGTCGACATGATAGTGACACTCCCAGTTCACCTAACACAAACCAAATACAATTCCAGCACACGTTGTACAGTGAAGCAGACATGTAACTTCTGCTGGCTTCATGCTCAACGTTGAAAACACAATAGATGAGCTGACACACAGAATCGACTGATGGCATACTGAATATTTGAAGCGAAACTGTGCAGCAAATTAGACAGAAAGGCGGCAACCATATTCAGAGGTTGTGCCGTGCATGATGGGAAATAAATTCGACACCGAAATCGGTCATTTTGTTGGCCGATAACTGCATGAAATGCATGGAAGGCAGTTTTCTTGTCTTTTCTTCCTTAAGAGCCAGCTCTCATTCCTGCCTTCATCACACCCCCCCCCCCCTCATATCTACCTTCCACCTTGAAATGTCAAGCCGTCACACAAGTGTATCCACCTTATTCCAAGGCGCCATGAATTATGCGCGCCACTTCCGGCACGAAGCGAAGCGGGTGCATCGTTGACATGGGGTCCGCTTTTACCACCGTTACGGATTTCGACAATGCGGGAATGCTTAGAAGCGAACGCAGTCCAATCCTGCTTCGCGCTCGTGCAGCGGTGCGGGATGATGACATTAAGTAAGTAAATCAATCATTGAATAAGGCGGGCACCAAGGTAACTGTCACATCGCGCGAATATTGCTCTTCCAGTCACAGGTTCGACCTCCTCTGCCGGCGAGTCTCTCGGTCCAAGTTTCCCAAGCCGCGCAAGACATTTTTCAAGATGAACTCGGAAGCCCCCATCCTACCGAGGGGCCACCCTTTGCCAATGTTGAGCGCTGGTCAGGGTTCCTTCAAGGTCGGAAACATCGGCCAAGAAAAACAAAAACATTAAAACTCTTGGTGAACGCTTGGCCAATGTTGACGACCGTGACTGACGCCGACATTTCCAAATGTTTGCCCCTCAGTGGGATTGGAGGGTTAGAAAAAGGGGGCGTGGGGAGGGACGTTCACATCGAACAAAACCCACTGTCACCATGAGCGGAATTCTACTTCCAGGAAGTGGCGCGCATGATGGTTTGTCCAGGAGGGAGCCCTCGGGAGGAAGGTGGGGAGAGAAATCAAGCAGCGCTCGTATGATCACGTTGTGTGAGTGGCGAACACTTCGGCTTGCAGTCAGAGTAGGAAAGGGGAGGGGGGGGGGGGATTTGAAAGTTTTTTTCGTTTTGTTTTGCTTTTTTTCCCCAAGGCGTGACAGGCAAGCGAAGAAGGGCGGCCCGGTTTGACGCACATCGCACCTCGGCCCCCTTTTGTGCCAGGTGCTTTGCACATTTGGGGAGAAACGAAAAGCAGCACTTCATCTACCGTCTTATTGCCGCCGGCGCAAGCCAAAATTTTGCGCGGCGGGCGCCGCCCGTGCGTCGGCCTCGACTACAAATGTTTTCTCCCCGTAGGTAATGAAAGTGAGTTCACGATGCCAGAGGAAAGCTTTTATGACGTGCGTACACTCGGGCAACGTTTTATGTCAAATCGTAACATTCTGGAGTGTCACGTGAATGGGCAAGAAAGCCGAGTCTTGACCCAATCAAGTCGGGCGGCCGCGTTGAAGGTGGAAAAGTGGAAGTGAAGGCGGAGGGAGCTTCTCAAATGAGTTGAAATGAGTCGGTATTAGTTTGAGCGGGTCTGCCCGGGGAGGGACGTCTCGACGTGGCCGCTCGGTGCGCTCCATCTGAATGTGTGTCACGCAGAAGCGACGGCATCGAGCGGCAGCCGACGCGCACGCACAACACAAAGGGCAAACCCTCGTTCAAGTGTCGAGGTCCGCCGGGTTGCTTTTGCACTCGTTGGGGTGCGGTGCCGTCGCCCGGGAGCGTCGTGGCTGCGGGAAACGGGAAGTGATTTGGAAGCGGCCCCGAACTTCACTTCCTCGGGTGCCGACTTCAACCATGAAAGCCCCTTGTGCCCCCGCGCCGCATGGGAGATTCCGGCTCGAGTTGGGCGGGGTTGCGGGGGGGCGTTCGTGAGCTGGCCGATTTGTTTTCAAATGTCAGAAAGGAGCGCTAATTCCCTCAGCTGGGGTTTAGGCCGACATATTGACAGAATCCAAATCCCATCCGAGGCAGCTTGACGTTGCAAATAACTTGCGCCAAGTCGATCGAGGCTTCCATCGCTCGTCAACCTCCCAAGCTGGAGGAAATGAAACATTCCTTTTTCTCTCTCTCGCTCGTGATCTCTCTTTCTCCGTCAGCATTCAAGTGTCGACTCAGAAAAAAAAAAAGCCACAAGTCAGATTTATGATGATGATATTTTTCAGGGAAGCGACCCGCCGAGATGTTTGCCTTTTGCACCGCTCGCTCTTTATTCCACGCCGCGTGTCTTGTTGTGACTCGAAATTGTCCGGGTGGGTGCCGGCCCGCTCCCTCGCTGTCTCGTTCCCTCCGTGCGGACAACGGCACCGTGAAAAAGTGGCCGCGCCATGAGAGCCTTGCGAGCGCGTCCCGTCGACTTGGCTTCTCGGGCCGCGCGCCGCCTCTCGCGACGTTCACTCGTGACGTTCACTCGCGACGTGGTCTTCCCGAGAACTGCCACATCGTTCACTCGCGCGCTCCAGCAAGAGGGGACAAAGGGCGTCGCCGTTTTCAATTTCAAAACGGCTCGGCTCCACGGCTGAGCAAAACCAACTTCTATAAAACGACATTTTCAATTTGGTCGCTGTGCATGCACGTAATTAGATTTGAATTCAAGAATGATGAACTCCGCGCATTTTCCCAATCCTTTTTTTTAAAATGATTTCCAATTGCTCAATCCTTTACGGCGCACCGCTGCGCCATTTTGCAAATTCCGATTTTGGGCGCCTAAGCTATCTGTGCGCAGAATTTCCTGCTGCTCATTTGCTGTCTTTTTTGTTTTCCCCACAAATAGAGCAAGCCCAGCCCCAATGACCCTCCCCCAAAAAAAAAGGTCTTCCCGAGAACTGCCACATTTGAATGAGCAGGGGGCCGGGTCCCAAAAGATGTGAAATCTCAATTCCCGAACCACCAACGTGTCAACGCTTCACCACCTTGCGACGTCTTTCCCCTTCTCGATTTGCGCGCAACCCGTTCAGGCAGCAAACAAAACCCCAAAAGCGTTGCTTTTGTTGGAGTCGATCTTTGGCTGAATTTGCTCGCGTGAAATCACTTCTGACTTGCTTTTGGTACTTTTGTTGTTGTTTTGAGCGTTGTTTTGCCACCTGCTACTTGGCACAGTCGTAAGCTCGTCACAGCGACGGCTAGTTTTTCCTCGTTGGCGTTCCCTCGGTATTGGCTCGGGCCCCGTCGAAAGACGTCCACGTCGGCGTGGCTAAATGGGCCGCTTTATGGGCTCGCTAATTGCGTCTGTCACCCGCGCGTAACCGCAGCGAGCGCTCGCCAGATCCCAGAGTTGATACGCTCGCCCCGCTCCATTTTTGTCACTTTGCTCCGAGCTGGAAACGGCGCTTCAAGGCTGAGTTCCTAATGAGGTCGATCAGAGTTTCCTGCCCCCCCCCCACTCCAGTCCCCATTAATCAGGCCGGGGACCCCACGGCGCGAGGGCCCCGGCCCGCCACACTGCCGCGTTTCTGTTCCTGCCCCGCCGCCGCGCTCGCTGCGCAGCGTGAAGCTCTGAGGAGCCTCATCAATCTCACCTGTCCCGCGTTCCCACCGCAGATTTAATCAAATGCTCTTTTTGGGGAAAGGGGGGGGGGGCATACCCCCGTCCACAACTCCCCCCGCCTCCCTCCGGCACCCTCCGTGGAGGAAAAACAGAAAAACACACGCTGAAATCTGGAATGGGCTAAGAAAAAAAAGGGGGGGTGGGTGTGAGGGGGGCGGGGAGAAAAAAAAAGTGTTCACGTGGTGGATGTTTGGTTTTTTGGGACGCCTCTTTCTCACCTCCTGCCATGTGTAGGAAAATGCATGACACTGATTTGCCAGGGTTGAGAGTCCGAATAATTTAGCGTCGAGGACTCGGGTTGGAGTTGTCGGCCGGCTCAGGGGGAAAACAAAACAAAACCAAACAAACAAAAAAAAAAATCCCTCTCTCTGCTTCCATTTGCGTGAGGAGCGAAGGTTCGGACGAGGCCGGCGCGTGCGTTCCTTTTGCGTCGACTTGAGGCACGACGGGCACGGCTTTTCTCGGATTTCACCCCGGCAGCCGGGTGAGGGTGAAGGGGAAATGGGATGAGGCCAAATCTTTTCTTGCCGCTTCACGCCGAGAGGAAAGTTTTGGATTGGAGTGAAGGGGGAGATCCCGCCTCTCCGCCTGAGTTCGGCCTTGGGCGACCGGCTTCCTGACACCGCTTTGAGCCCGCGATCTGGTTAGAGGTCGGTTTAGGGGATGACTGACTCCTTCTGTGACCTTTGGCTGCTGGCGTTTCAGTTCCAAATGAAAGTCCTTCCGTCCGGGATACGCGGCTCGGGTCAAAGTCGGGGTTCGGACTACGCTTGGGCTCATCTGATTTGGAAAGGTCCTCTCTCTCGTCCCTTCGGCGGCGACGGGAAAATCCTTCCATCCGGTTGAGGCTATCGGGCCGGCTTTCGAGGGCCACTCCTATTTCCGCTTGCGAGTTTGCCTTCGGGGTCAGGTCGGGAGCCCTTTTGATGAAATATCATCAACTCATTTTGCGTTTGTTCCCCTGACCTCAGTAGCTGCATTTTTTTTCCATCCCGGTCGCTGCCCTTCTCGGGTTCTTTTGCTTGGCTCCCCCCCACCCCCCAAAAGGCACGGCCGGCGCCAAGATTCCGCCGAGGACAACTTGACTTCTGCAGGTGCAAATCCACCCAAATGAGGATTTGGAGCGCACGCTTTCGGGGGAGGAATGTTGCCTTTTTCTTTTGGCCTGACATTTTCTTGCTCCGTACGAGATCTCGAGTTGCGGCGTGTTGTCACCTCGGGACAAAAACACACGCGCGCGCAATGTCGTCGAGTTTGGTTAACCGGTACATAGATGGCCACGTCGGATAGGGAGCGAAGGCACGTCAAGGTGAATTAAGATCGCAGCGTTGGCGGGGGCAGGGGGTTATTTCTGGGACGGAAGGGAAACACCGGACCCTCTGTGTTGGGATGCTCAGCGGGAGAGCTGGGGGGGGGCTTCCGTCCTTCCATCCTTCCATTCGCACTCCTCTCGGGATGCGGCGTTGGCAAAGATCTGACGCCGGATTGCACCTCCAAAGATTTAGCGGTCGCTCGCAGCACGGGGCGGGTGGGGGGGGAGCGGCGACCGTCCGGCAGACTTGTTGAAATTGGCGCGCGCCGTCGGTGTGAAATGTCTTGGCTGCCGTCGAGCGTAGGAGCCCTGAAAGGACGCCCAGAGCGCATCACGGAACAGATACGCTCTGTCGGGCCGCGATGAGGAACGCTGACGACTGCGCTGGAAAAGCTTTGATGACGACGGCCGATCCTCACTTTCTAAATGGCCGACCTGCCGCTGATTGCAAATTCGACACCCGACGTTTTTTTTTCGAGATCGCGGACTGAGAGACGTGGATGTTTTGGCAGTCGTTTTTGATTCGCCTTCGCTTTTCAGCGCTGTCATTTTGGGCCAAATTCCCAAACTGAATTTGGCTCAAATCGGAGTCGGATCGGCAGTGCTCATTCGCGAAGCTTTCGGATTCACATGCTGGAGTATAGCGGCAAATATTTGGAGGCGTCGCCACAGCCAATTTCGGCTGAGGAAATGTTCTCCGGCTCTGACAAATGTTAAAAAAAAAAAAACAAAAACCGTCAGCCTGTCGACGACGCTTAACAGACTCTGCCTCGCTCCTCATATTTTAACACCGACGGTGGCGGCCGTCGCGCTACATCGTCGCTAAGGTGACGAAAGCTTTCCTCTTTCGCAGCCGCCATATGCTGAAGACATTGCGCGCTTTGTGTGTGTTAGAGTCCATGTCTGAAGGGGAAAGGGGGGGGGGGGAATGCGGAAGGTTACGTACACGTTCGCGCCGTGTTTTCGCACTTTTTCCAGGAATAGGTCTTCATTTGTCTGGCAATGTCACCGTGCGGTAACGTCCGCGGGGGGCGAAGGTCAAGCGCAAACACGCTGCGGGGGGAACGTGTCCATCTTAAACTTGGACAGACGAGCCTTCAAAAAAAAAAAAAAAGCCGCCTCCCGGTCAGCCCGGTGGAAAAACAGCCGTCACGTCATGTGAGGACAAAGAGCGAATCGTGCGGCGTCTTTTTTTTTTTTGTTTTTTTTTTCCTCTACAGTTCCAGCGGGGGGGCCCCTTTCCAACATTTCTCTCTCTTCTCGTCCGCCGGGGAACAAGCGACCGCACGCTGCGGTGCCGGCGAGAAAATGTTGGATTAATCAGCCACAACAAAATGACATCCTCGCGCAAGAATGCCTAATAAATGCAATACGGGAGAAACCCGGCCAGCGCCGGCAATGCGAGTCGACGCGTCGAAGCTTTTGAAGTCCCCGCGAGGACTCGCACAAAGCCCGCAAGAAACTGACGAAATGTTGTCAGAGCAAAACTCATTTGAGTTGAATTCCACGTTGACAATTTGGGAGCTTCCACTCAACATCCGCGACCACAAGAACAAATTGAAGGCACGAGAAATCCTCCCAATGATGATCGGACGCCGATCCCGCGGCCGCCTCGCGTGCGCGAGAGAAACAACCCCACCCCCACCCCAAGCGTGTGTCAATTTGACATCACGGCTTCAAGTTTGTGCAAGTGCAAACCCCTGAATGGTCCCCAAAATGGCTGCCTTCCTGTCAGGTCTCGCTCCTGATGACTTTTTGGGGACCTCCACTTGGGATAGAAGCATCACCGAAATCGGGAGATGGGCCTTTTTTCCCCATCCCAAGCAAGTCCGGAAAGCAATATTTCATCCGGCGGACAACTGGTGAGGCCGTCTGCCTCACAGCGCAGAAGTGCGGGGTTGGGTAGCGGGCTTTGGCCTTCCCGTGTGGCGTTTGCATGTTCTCGCCGTGCCTGCGAGGCTTTCCTCCAAAAGCATGCGCGGCGGCAGGTTCATGGAACAACGGCAGGTGTGAGTGTGAGCCCCGATGTTGTTTTTTCGTCTGCGGGTGCCCCGCGATGGGCCGGCAACCCGTCGAGGGTGTCCCCCGCCTCCCGCCCGAAGACGGCTGCGGCACGCCTGCGACCACACGCGGATGCATCAGGCGTGAATTTCACGCCTCGTCTGCGACTTTGTTCTCGAGAACACCAAATCGGGTGGGCGCGCGCGTCACTCATGACCTGACGCCTGACCAAAATTGAACAGGGTGTGCGGCCGCCATTTTGTTGTCTGCGATGGGCGGGTGGCAATGACTGGCTGAGCTTTTGAGCCTCAACTTGCGGGCCAAAAACGGCACGCGCCTGTCTCGCGGGGCGTCCTTTTTTCTGAAACGTCAGCTCACGTTACCAAGTACGCCCGCCGCGCCTTTCCTTCCGCGATCATTTGATGAGACGTATGAAATACGGCGGGACAAATCATGTCTCGGGGCAGCGGCCGCCGCGTCGAGACGCTCACTGCCGGGATTTCCAAGCGGATCACCTTTTACGACCGTTGCGCTTGTGTTGCGGCATCCGTCATAAAAATTAATTGCCGTACACTATTGGCTGTCCGGCCTGTCGTCGGGCGGGGGCTGATTTACCTCTTCGCCCCCCCCTCCCCCTCTCCCAAACCCCACAAAGCGCTCTCGAGACTCCGGCCGGCCGGCTTTCCTTCCTCGGAGGCGTCTGGCCAGGTGACGGCTGCTTCGTGGCCGCCGTTGACTCTGCTTGACACTTGATTGGCTCAAATGACGCCATTAGCATGTCTGCGTGGCTAATGGCTTCCTTCGCGGGGGACGGGGTTGCGGGGGGCATGTCAGCTGGAGGTGAGAACACATATGAGCCAGACCCGGGGTGCCGTCTGCGCCCTAAATCGACCCCGACGCCCCCCGAAGAGGCTCGCCGCAATTACATCTGCGGCTAATGACTTAAGCGCTCAGTTCCTTCCGGCCTCGCTCGTGTTCCAGCGCGCCGGGAGCTTTGCAGCGGCCGGCGCTCGGGACTCGGCTGCCGGCCGGTCGCCGGAATGGGCGCGGCGAGAAGCGCGGCCGGCGAAAAGGAAGCCCTGGGGCGTTTTCATTGCTCGCCGAGAAGCCGGAAAGGTCCAGACGACGAGTTTGAAATTCAAATTTCAAACCCAGCCCGAGCTCCCGCTTGAAATCCGAGCCGAGGCTCGAAAGCCTCAGCCACCGCAAAAGCCGAACCCTTGACAAAACCCGAATTGAATCTGGCAACCCATACTCTTGTGTGAAACCCTCACACGAGTTCGAAAACCATGACCCTGCCTTGAAACGCTCATTGGAGACCCCACCCGCGGCTCCGCGGTTTCCAACCGCCGCGGAGGCTTTTCATCGAAGGTTCGATGTCCCCACCGTGTCCCCCGTCAGGCTTCAAACGGAGTTGAGGTGTCCCGTGCCCCAATCCGGGCGTCAAACTCGGATCGGAGGGGTCGCGGCGAGGGTTTCGAGGCTTTCATTTTCCAAACTCGGCTTGCGATCCGAATTAGGGTTCCGGTTCACGGGGTTGATGATTGAAATACGTTTGAGAGTTTGCTTCTTTTCTTGGGCAGGAGCCGTCAACGGCGGCGCGCCGGGTGTTCTCCGGGATCCAGCCCACGGGGGTCCCCCACCTGGGCAACTACCTGGGCACCTTGGACAACTGGGTGACCCTGCAAGAGCGCTACCCGTCGGTGCTGTACAGCGTGGCCGACCTGCACGCCGTCACGCGGCCGCAGGACCCGCGCGCCCTCCGGACCAACACCCTGGACATGGTGGCCAGCCTGCTGGCGTGCGGCGTCGACCCGCGCAAGGCCGTCCTCTTCCAGCAGTCGCAGGTTCGCCCCGCCCCCAATGCGCCACCGAGCCTTCACTTGAAAGCAAAACTCGTGTTTTGAAACCCTAACCAGGCTTTGACACCTTAACTCGTTTCGTGCCGAAACTTAAAGTTACGTTTGCAAAAAAAAAAAAAAAAACTCTGGACACACGAGGTAATGTTTGCATCGGCAGCAGCCGTGCCTTGGTGCTCCACATTTTGGCAGCCCTAAAGTTTCTTGGTGCCCTTCATCTCCTCGTGGATAACCTGGCCCGTTAAAAAGAACAAATCAAAAAACCCATGCGATTCCGTTTTTGCCGTTTCTTATTCCAAGCCGCGCGTGGACTTCCAGCTGACATTTTGGATGCACGGTTATCCTTTGAGTGCCTCGCCGTCTATTTTTCCTTCTTTTTACGCCGTGAAAGGGGAGAAGTGGCCCCCACTGTCACGTCCTGATCGAAGTTCCAGTTATCTGACGAGAGAGAGAGAGAGAATGTCAACGGAGCCGGCCAACCAGAAAGTTGAATTTGCCCCAAAACACGGCCGCGCATCCGCCAGTGAAACCAAGGCAGCCGCTGCATCCTTCTTCAAATATTCAAATATGCGATGATCTCTGTCAGCGTGCTCCATTTTTCAATTGCCCGCGGTACCTTCCGCTGCCTCTCTGAGGCGCCAGGCAGTCACCGTTCTTCGTGCTTCCATTTACTTTGGGTTTTTTTTTTTTCATTGACATGAAAGATGATATGGAAGTTCAACTTTCAGCTGCCGCAATTGAAGGCGTCTGAATATTTGTGACCTCGGCAGGTGCCCGAGCATGCCGAGCTTTCCTGGATCCTCGGATGCCTGACCAGCATGCCGCGCCTCCGACACCTGCCGCAGTGGAAGGTACCCATGGAAAACACACACACACACACACACACACACACACACACACACACACACAAAAAGCTAAATGAATGAAGTCACGTAAAATAGAAAAAAATACAAAATAACAAAATAAAATAGAAAAAAAATGTTATTGGATTGTGTTTTTTTAGTAGTCGTGTAAATGTGCTCATCGATGAGCTTTGGGGCTCCATTTGAACCGTCGACATTTTTGCAATTGCTGTCCATTTATACTCCAGGAGGAAGGGCAACTTGATCGCACAATACTTTGTGACTTTTTTTTTTTAAAGAAGAAACTTCAATGAAAATACGCCATATATAAAAAAAAAAAATTCTACTAAAACAAAGCCTTTTCAACATCCTGAAAACCCCCAAATCCCACCCTGACACACACACACACACACACACACACACACACACACACGCACGCGCGCGTTCCGGTTTGCACTTGCTTTGATGGCCGATCGATCATCCAGCAGCGCGCCAGCTTTTGGGATTTTGCTGCAGTTGTTTACTTGTTGAAATGGACAAAGCCTTGGTCATCGGAGCGCGTTCTTTTTTTGTTTTTTGTTTTTTTCCTGCCGCCTCGTGTCGGATTTCCATCCCGTTTCTCCGTCGTTGTTTTCGTCTGTTTTATTGCTTTCTCCATCTGTCAGATTTGTCCTCCTAATAGCCGTCATTTCCCGACCACATGTGGCGTCAATCGGGCCCCGAGGAGGTGCCGCGGCCAAAAAAAAAAGGCCTGCATACACGCACCTTCTGGATGCCTGAAAAAGACTGGTCGCGGCCTGTTCCGATCTTGGGTGACTAAAATATCGACATATGTTTATTTTTAATTTTTTGGGGGGGGCGTGGGGGGGCATGTGTCCAGATCAAGAGCAAGCAGAAGAATGAAGGCAGCGTGGGCCTGTACACCTATCCTGTTCTCCAGGCTGCTGATATTCTTCTCTACAAGTGAGAATTTGGTCCCGGCTTGCTAGCAATCAATCAATCGGGTGGCGCAGTTTGGAGGCCGGCCGGCGCTTGCCCTCCAGGCCTGCGGGCGGCGCTGTGCTCACTTGCAACCCGCCACTCGCAGGGCGGTCTTCAAATTGCCGCAAGGAAAGTTTTTGTATTCGTGATGAGGATTGATCTTTGTTTTGGTTTTCGGAAAGCAAAGCTACGGATAATTTTGGGGCGACGTGCAAATCAATCAATAACAATTGAAATGAAAATGAAAAGAATGAAAGAAGGGAAATGGGTTCTTTTTAGACCCAAATTGATTTTCTGCCTGACAACGAGGATGGGGTGTTTTTGTTAGTTTTTTTTCTCCCTTCCAATGATCGGAATTTGGGCCATAGGATCTTTTTCTCCTTTCAGTCAATTGTGTGGACAAATCGTTTATTCGACTTCTTTTTTTTTCCAGTTTAATATTGCACTGCAAACAGTTGACATATATTGTGTTGAAAAGTAATCCGATAAAACTCCCACCATATTCTCAAGTTCATCACAGCAAAAATATGAACCTATAACTGCTAAAAAAATGTATGATATCCTTTGAAAACACGATAGTTATTATTATGATGATGATGATGATATCCCCCCCCCAACTTTACTAACCACGTTTGCATAAGCACATGCGCTCCAGATGACGGTGTACAGTTGTTGACGCGCTCTCGCCCGCCGGGCGGGCTCTCAGGTCCACGCACGTCCCCGTCGGAGAGGACCAGGTCCAGCATCTGGAGCTGGCTCAGGATCTGGCTCGCATCTTCAACCGACGCTACGGCCACCCCGTCTTCCCTCAGCCCCGCGCCTTGCTCGGTAAGAACACCTCGGGCTCAATCCTTCAACAATCCTGATGAGAATGACACGCATGGAACTATTTTGGAATGCCGGCGCACAAGCCTCGCAATGAAACGCACACATGGTCAACACGCACGCACACACAGACTCAAAATGCGGTTGTTTATTCCAAAGCCTCGTAAAAATACAAAATGGCGTCAGCACTTTTGATGAAAGAAGCCTCTTTGCCACCAATCGGGTGATAATTGACTGCTGAGGGGGGCGGGACTTGTGATTGATTGGCGGCCGGCAGCGGGGACCATCTGATCTGTCCTCGCCAACCGCTTTTTCGTTTTTGGGAAGCCCAATAAAACAATTGCAGGAGATGAGGTTTCGTGTTGCTCGGTTACCGAAACAACGCCCAAGGTTTGATCTCACCCCCCCCCAAGAAGTTTGTGGTCAGTTTTGAACTTTTGCACTTCCACTTGTGCAGGGATCTTGTGCACCGCCGCCTCACCGACCTTCCCACCTTCACCTGTTCTCCGTCCGATTCCCTCCGCAGGCTCCGCCCGGAAGGTCAAGTCCCTCCGTGACCCCTCCTCCAAAATGTCCAAGTCGGACGGCCAGACCATGGCGACCATTTATATCACGGACACTCCAGATGACATCGCCCTGAAAATCCGCCGCGCCGTCACCGACTTTACCTCGGAGGTGACATACGACCCGGAAGCCAGGCCGGGCGTGTCCAACTTGGTCGGCATTCACGCCGCCGCCGCCGCCATCGGCGTGGACGAGGCCGTGTCGCTGGCCCGAGGCTTGGACACGGCCGCGTACAAAGGCCTGGTCGCCGAGGTGCTGGTCCAGAGGCTGGCGCCTGTTCGCCAGCGGCTGCTGCGGCTCAAGGCGGAGCGCTCCCACCTGGAGGCCGTGCTGGACGAAGGCCGGCGCAGAGCCGGCGAGCTGGCCGCCCCCACGCTACAGCAAGTCCGAAGATTGGTCGGATTCTGTTGACAGGACGGGCGCATTTGGAACTGAAAGCGCCCGATTGGTCCATTTGCTTGCATGAGCTCATCGCTCTTGTCGGTTTTGGGAGGGGACTGGATCTTGGTTAGCAAAAAGAACACAAACAATATTTCAAAGATAAAGATTTTTTTTTTTTCTGCTCCAAGATGGGAGAACAACTGGCCACATTCTATTGGCAGGCGGACTCAGAACAGGCGCCGCCTGATTGGTCTGTTTTTTCTTTTTTTTCCATAGATCATTATTTACGATCTCATTAATTTTTTTTTCCTATTTTTGTAGATCATGATTATAATTTTTTTTTCAATGCAAAAATACCTATAAAGTAATATATGTGTGTGTGTGTGTGTGTGTGTGTATATATATATATGTATATATGTATATGTGTGTATGTGTGTGTATATATAGTGTGTGTGTATATATTTATATACATATACCTATATGTGTGTTTGTGTGTATATATATATGTATATATATATATATATATATATATATATGTATCTTTTCTGTTCCAAGGTCCCCCCCCCCTCCACACTGGAAAAGCCAGACGACCGAATGTCGAACAGACACGGCCTGATTGTTTTTGTTTTTTGCCTGCATCACGCGTCCTGCCTGCAAAAAGCATTCGATATTTGGATAGGATCATGATTCCAAGAAATAATAAATGTTTGAATATTCAACATGGTGATTTTCTGCTGTGTTTTGTGCTTCAACTCCAACAATGGCTTTTTCGCTTTTTTCGCTGTAGATGTGAGAAGACTGCTCAGATTTTGCCACCCAGCGGATTGGAAGAGTGCCACCTGATTGGTCCGTCAGCATTATTTCTTTTTTATTTTTAACCGACAGCCCCCCGCCCCCTTCCCCTGCATCTAGTTTCCTGCGTTCATTTGGGGTGGTTCCCGATCACAAGAAGTAATCATTTATATTTAAACGTTGAACGTGATCGTTTCGTATTTTTCATGGTATTTACAATTTTCGTTTTATTTATTTTTTTGTTCAATTTTCTGAAACAGACAGACCTGATCGGTCCGAATTTGTGTTTGGTTTTTGTAATGCCGTCCTAGTTTTCGACTCACTGCCTACTTCCGTTTGGAGACTGCAAAACGTTTTGTGTGCGTCTTTATATCTAATTAATTGGTCATTTTAAATGAAAACGTGAACACATTTAACAATGTTTGTCTTTCATCTCAGATTAAACCATTTCATGACACACACATATATAAATAGATAAGAAAACCTTTATTAGTCTCACAATGGAGAAATTCCCAATTCACAGCAGCAAAGAAAAACAAAATATCGGAGCTGCTGTCAAGGCAGGTATAATTTTTGTATATTTGTAAAAGCAATGTGGCAAAGGTTCAAATTCGATCATCATCATGGGCTGCCACGTTGTCATGACCAAAACTCACAATTTTCACATTCATCGGATGGATTAAAAAATGGATGGCTTGTTTGAACGATAAAAGTGACAATATTTACACACGCAACAATACTGTATACGCACAGACGACATTTCCCACGTGAAGAGATAACGTTTAAAATCAAATGACAATTTGTACCACTTGTCCACGATTCTCGTCTCAGTTGGGACAAAATACGAAATGAGTCGATGTGCGCAAATACTAAATATGCGACAAATGAACAACCCCGGATTTTCACCGCACATTTGTCGCCATTTTTCTTGCTTTTCCCCCTTTTGGTTGTTGTCATCCTCTCTCGCTCTCTCTCCCACACCCACACACACACACACACACACACGCACACGCACACACACACGCACACACACGTTTGTGTTAACAGCCCCCTTAAAAAAACGGACATTTTCACACCCTAAAAAAAAAAAAAACTCAACGTCAAATGTGTCCAAAACGTGTTTTATGCACACGGGGAAAAACACGTCATTAGGTCACCATAAACCTAAACAAAACGATTACACTTCGCTGCGTTTAAATCGAAAAAAAGGCTTTTTTTTTTTTTTTTTTAGACACCTCTTGAAAGGCGTTTCCTATTCATTTCAAATGATTATAATTGTTACTTTACTCCACAAAAATCACATCGCAATTTCGCTTTTATTTGAGTATAAAACACGTCCTATGCCTTCGTGTGTGTGTGCGCGCGTGAGTGTGTGTGTGTGTGTGTGTGTGTGCGTGTGTGTGTGTGTGTGTGTTTGCGTGCTTGCAGTGGCCTTGTACGTGTGTTTTACGACGCTAATTATTTCTTTTTCTCTTCTTTTTTTTTTGCCCGCTTTAGTTGCTGCAGGGGTCGGTCGGGGCCAAAAAGGTTCTGCTAAGGTTCTGCACATGAAAGGCAGCAACGTCTTCACGTCATCACGCTATTCGTGCTGAACAAAGCAAAAAAAATTACAGCTAAAAAAATATGACATCGAAAAGCAACAATGATTCATCCAGAATATTCTTTTTTTGGGGATTTTTTTTCATGACTATGTAGCAGATTCGAACAAGAATCAAATCAGGGCGGCCACTCTATCGATGTATAGATCTCTCTCTATCTATCGATCTATACACTCGTGTGTGTGTGTGTGTGTGTGTGTGTGTGTGTGTGTGTGTGTGTGTGTGTGTGTGTGTGTGTTTTCCCCTGGTTGTATTATGATTGTGTGAAACAGAAATCCACCCAAAGACACACGTTGTTACTTTGTTTTGCGTTACCCGGCCTCGTGAAAAAATTATGCATGCTCCTGAAATTTGTACGGCATGCACACGTTGCTCTTTCTCTTCAGTAATTGTAATTTGCACTCATCGTGTGGATTTTAATTGCAGCCGTCGTTGGCTTTGCGTGACATATTGATGATGAGATGTTTTTTTGTAAAGCACCCAGAGAAATATTTGTGATGATGGATTTTTGACGTTTTGATAAGCCGCTGTTATATTAATGTGGATTAGGAAACACCTACTTTGCATGTAGCCACCTTCATGATCATAAAAAGGGCATCTTGTCATAATAGTCATCAGGTGAGATTCCCATTTATGCGTCTCGCAACAGGCTGGTTGCAAGAGGTATTATCCGGGGCGAAATAAATTCAAAGAAATTATTAATACTGAATATTAATAATACTGTAATTCGTTTACATTTGAATTTCTCCCATTCTTCGGCTCACCTGGGCGATCACGTGTTTTTTTTCAGTACGATTTCAAACAATAACAATAATCATCCTCATCGAAATCTCAAAGTACTCCGTGACGATTGATGGCTTATCATGCATGTATTTCGGGTTTTTTTCATTATTATTTTTGCTTCTCTGGAACACGTGATTGACAGCCGTTCGCGGCGTTCGGACTGCGCGTGAATTCGGGGACTTGTGGCGGGAGTGGCTCTCACGCCATTGGTGGAAAAAGTTTGCCTGGCAGGCGGCTCCGGCTTCCGATTGGGCGACGGAAGCGGCCCCGCCCTCAACTTGAAAAAAAGCGCTGGTCCAGGCGGGCGGATCAATCCGAGGCGACTCGCTCGGCAAGCACTCCACCATGGCGGCCTGGGCAAGCTCCACGCAGCGCTCCTGCTTCTTCTGAGTGCTGGATTACTTTTCAGGGCCCTTTTTTGTTTTTTGGGGGGGTGGGGTTGTCTTTTGCCGCCCGCGGTGCGGGGCGTGCGGGTGCTTCGCTGCGCTCCGGACATGAGTGAGAGGAGGCGTTCGGCCGCCGCTCTGAGCTCGCGAGCCAGCGCGTTCTCCGTGGAAGCCCTCATCGGCTCCAGCAAGAAGCGGAAACTCCGGGCAGCCGCCGCCGCCGCCGCCGCCGCCGGCGGCGTCTCCGGCGTCGGCTGGGACCACCACAAGGACGACGAAGACGACGACGACGACGACGGCCTCCACTTGGACGATCCGGCACACTGCCTCGACATGGACCCGGGTCAGTGCGCATGCTCGCAACGCCACACACGCAGCTTCTTGCCTTTTCTTTCTTTTTTCCATCTTCCCGGACAGCAAGGTTTCGACCTGTGCGTGAAGGCAGCGCGGCTCGCAGTGCGCGTCGGCGAAAGGTTTGGCTTTTGGCCCGCGGAGGCGCGCACGTTCAAGTACACGTCCTGAATCGTGCCAAAAACAACAACGGTGACCGACGTGTTTTAAATGAACGATGTGTCATATTGATGTCAGTGGAATGACGAAAAGTAGCACGTTTATCGTTCGTTCGAGCGTCATTTGAACTGTCTCCCATGATTCTTATTTGCGCGACTGAGCGCTGACAGTGTTGCGGCAAGCAGCTTCGGTGGCAGCCTACAAACGGCTTGATGTTGTAAAATGTCATTCATAAAATTACGCCTGAGAAAAATTAGCCGCATCACATCCTTTAAACCTGGGTTTTGAAATGACACCGTTTCAGCTTCAAGGATAAAAAAAAACAAAAAAACTTCGGGACGTTATGCGAAATTTAAATAAGAATAATAAATAACACATAATATCTAAGAACGTAACTATTTGTTAAGGAGATTTTGGTTGGGCGTATTGACCCGTTTTGGTTGAAGCGGTACGTGAAGGCTTCACCGACGGCGGGTGGCCGCGCAACGGGAGCGCGCACATCGTCCGTCTCGTCGAGGGGATCAAAAATGGAAGACCGCGCGTGTGTTTTTCTTGTTTTCGGCACGGATGGACTTGAGACATGTCGTCAACGATGTTGACGATAACATCGTCACGATGACGTCCTATTTAGAGCCGAAGCGCTTGGTTGAAAAAAGACACACAAGTATTTGGCTGAAAGGTTCCCTTCATTTTTGAAGCAAAAATGCGACGAAAAGAAAAACGAGCTAAAAAAATCACATCAAAGACAATTGGGTTTTCGGGGTGAGGGGGAAATAATCTCCCTATTTTGTGGGTGGCCCCCCAAAAAATGGAACAAAAACGTACATTTTTAAGGGTGCGCTCGCATGACGCGGGTTGTCGGAAGCCCTCGCTGTCTGTACGCTTGAGTCAAGCAAATCTGAACAGCGAGACGATTTGACGACGAGCAGCAGCGCATGAACGCCAGGCAAACGTACAAGCCGTTGATCCGTCCACAAAAAGCAACTCGGACATGTCTGAGAGACGACGCGAGGACAACCGCATTCGCGCGGTTTTTGCACCGGCAATCTGAAATGTAACTCGATCCACGTGGAAATGTGCTTCGGAAACTTGTCGAGGTTTCCCCAAAAGCTTCGGGAGGAAAAAAGCAAAAGAAAAGGAGACGCCGAGTTTGCCCTCCAGGCCTGCGGCTTCGGAGCCTCGCCGCCGGCCTCCTGTCACGCGCACTGCTCGGCCTCTCGGCTTTTCGTTTTCTTTTTTTTTTCCAAGTCCGTAAAAGCAACAAAAACACTGCAGACTAAATGCTTGCCATTTTGTTCGACCCACGCAGCACTCTTGCGTTCTCATCATTTTTCAGCATTTCTTGCCCCTTTTAGTTGCGTTTTTACACCAAGGTGACGACCAAGCAGATTTCATGCCCACAAACATCCTTCAGATGGGTGCGTGTCACCGTGAAGAGTGCCAGAATTTGTCTGTTGTGCCACGAAACGCCAAAAGTGTGCCAAATTTCCCCCAGCGTCTTTTTTCCCCTAATGGAAGGAAGCAATATCACGTGTGCTACCAATTTTATCCCGACTGAATCTAAAAACCTAAATTCACCACCCAATTGACACATTTTCAAGAAAACGTAATCAACTCCAAATAACGCAGCATGTATTTCGCCACCCCCGAATGTACATCAACTAAAATATCGACCTATGCGGATCGACAAAGCCAAAGGCTTCAACACAAAAGTTTCCGAAGAAATATCTTGTATTTTGACACTCCCAAGACGTTGCACTCAATTTCCGGCTTGTTTTCAAACCATCAAGTGGAGTCACCAAACTGCGATCGGCGCAAAAAGCCACTACTCGTTCCACTTGGCGTGAGGGAAACAAAAAAAGACACTGCAAAGCACTTCGGCTGAGGTGAGGCGAGGCGAGGACAACGCCAACAACATTTGCTCCTTTTCCAGCAAGTGCTACTCGGGACCTTTTCGTTCAAAAGGTCACCCCAAAAAGGGCGCGGCCAATCACAATCTCTCCTGCCCAACTCATGAAGCGTGTGTGTGTGTGTGTGTGTGTGTGTGTGTGTGTGTGTGTGTGCGTGTGTGTGTGTGTGTGTGTGTGCGCGTGCGCGCTCCCGTTTGACCTCCGCTTCTTTTTCATTTTTCCCCCCTCCACCGCGGACTTGCTGTCAAGCGTTCTCCTTTGTTTCCACCGTGTTGTGAAAACTTGAGTCGTCGTCCTCATCATCGCGTTGGCCAACCTGAGCGTCTTTTTGACGCCGAGTCCCAAAACGTCTTGATATGAATTAGTTTTTGCCACACGTTGCACCAGCTCGTGTGGTTGGTGCAACGTGTGCGTTGGCGTTGACGGCGGTGACGTTTCAGAAAGCAAATAAATGGAGGCAGGCACCTGTCGCCGAGCCGAAGCTTTCATCGCTCGATTGCATGTTACATTTTTGCCATTACATCGTGAACGTGCTGGAATCAGCACCCCCACATCACCTCAAAAAACGAACTTGCGTTTCTGAGTTCGAAAATGTCTCCATTTGTTGATTGGCGTCATCGAGGCGCGACAGTCAATCTGTTTCGAATGCGCGGATGTGCCCAATCGAGTGATCCAACACCCCGAGAAGCGATCAAATGCTACCCGATTTGCCGAAGTAAAGGTCGCTTTTGGGAGTCAAGTGGAGGACTTTGTCTGTTGTGACGACCCCCCCGCACTTGTGTTGTGCTCGCGAAGTGCAAAATGTCCACCTGTAACTCGTCGCTCGGTGCCGCCCGTGCAGACTCGGAGGCGAGTCCGAACGGCTCGGACGGCTCCGACCTGGCCGACCGGACGGCGTGCTCCTTCGGCCCGCTGCCGTCGACTGGGGCGGCGGCGCCCCCCCAGCTGGCCGCCTCGTCCTCTTCCTCGTCCTCCCCGCTGGCGGCGTCCATGGACGAGATCCACGTGGAGCTGCAGTGCGCCGACCTGTGGAAGCGATTCCACGACATCGGAACCGAGATGATCATCACCAAGGCCGGCAGGTAGATATGCACGCGCGCTACCGGCGACAACAACAAAAAAAAAATGTCCCGACCCGGAAATGAGGTTGGGGTGAATTTCGTCCATTTGATGCGGCCGCGAAAATCCGATGGCGCAACCACCTGAGCCAAATCAAATGCAACCAAAACGGGCGAACAAATCGTTTGAAGGACTTTTACAAATGGAAACGGACATCGATTCAAATGCGTCACCCAATTTTGCCCCCGCGCTTCAATTTTAGCTGCTTTATTTTGCTCGTGTGATTTTTGTATTCTGCGCGGGTCAAACTCAAACATGCGGAATATTCCTGAGTTTTCTATTCATCGTCGTGTTGCTCATTTGTATTTCCCCAATGCAGCTCGATTTGCTGGGTTATTTTAAAACGCAATTTCAAAACGAAAGAGACAGTTTTTTTCAGTTCTTATATGTGCAGCATTTTGTGACAACTTTCACCGTGGTCAGCCTGTTCCAAAAATGACTTTGTGTTGACTAAAATAAAAGCCAAACCTTTCTTAATCGTGCCAATTTAATTTTTTTTTCTCCGACCTTGATTTTTTTTGACTTTCTAATTTGAAAATATATCGAATAGTTTGTTCACGCAGCACATTTGTGCTTTGAATGTGTTTTGTTTCCTGGAGGCACTCGCGTCTCGGTCCTTAACAACTCGAGGCAAAATAAATCGGCAGTCTTGCTTGCTCACTTGGAAGGTGGTGGGTGACATTTGAAAACTGCCCAAATCGTGCATAGAGTGCTAAAAACGTGACGCTTTTGCCCCCCCCTCCATTTTGGTTGGTTGTTTTTTTTTCTTTTTCCTAAACATCTACATTCGACGAGCGCTCGGGAAAAAGAGTCGAAAGAAGTGATTCGGTGGCTGCAAAAGAAGTGGTCGAGAGGCGGCTCTCGCAATGCGGTTGCCTCGCACGCGAGCACCCGAGGCCCCAAGAAAGTGCCTGCGCGGTGCCGCCTTTTCTGACCTGGACCCAAACACTTCATTCGCCCGCAGTCGCTTTGGCCTCGCGGAACCTTTTACGATCTTTTTTTATTCTTTTCCTCTCTTCGTGTCACGATAAGAAGGGAGAGAGCAGCCCTCGGGGTCCCCCCCACCACCCTCCCTTTTCCATCCCGAAGCGAACGCCGTAAAACAGCGGCGCGTCGGCTTCCAGCCGCGATGACGTCAGCGAGGCATTTTAATGAAGCCGCCATTTATTGATCCGGCACAGTCTTCGCTTTCCTCGCCATGTGCTGCTCGCTTGCCTTTTTTTTTTTTGTTGCTTTAAAAACGAGAACACCGCTTTGAGAGCATGCAGCAGCACTTGATGTATCGGTGAGTGGATCAAGTTGATCGTCGTGCCGTGACGTCATTCGAAGACGTCGGAACGGTTGAACTTGGGGGGGGGAAAAAAAAAAGAGTCAGAGGTGGTGGTCTTTGACGTGGCACCGTCTGACTAGCGGATCGCATACTTAGTCCAATGCAAGAATGGCCTTGCTTTTGTCCATTTCGTTACGACTGCTTGAGCCCATCTTGAGTCATTATTGTTTTTTTGGCGGGGAGAGGGGGCGCTTGCCCTTTATGGAATATACATTTGCGGTGAGTTGTTAATCAGAAATGTGACCGAATGCTGTGGGAAAAGGATCAATGCTTAATGTCGCAGTGCCAAAACGCTCCTAATCCAAGGACGCGAGTGCTCCTTAAAAACAAACTGCAAAAAGTTTTTTACTTTACGATTGTAAGCTTTTGTTAAATTGTTAATTCTCATTTTATGTTTAAACATTACAGTATTGTCTTTGATGTTAAAGTTACCTAAATTATATTCTCTTTAATAATTTCTTAAACATGTTTGTTGGGAGCGTCTGATTGGCTGAATGAAACAGGAAGTGTTTTAGTAGCCGGAAGAAGGAGTTGTGTTCTCCATCGTGCTGCGGTGCAGACGACTTTTTTCCCCCTTTTAATAAAACTGCATTCAAAGGATTCCATCTCTCCTTTCGCCCATTCTTAAAGTAGAGCTATCCACTAAAAACAACCAACCCCTCAACTTACACAACCATTTGGGATAGTTGCCAAAAGTGCAAAATCACTGGCTTGGTGATTTGCTTTTTTATTCTTTGGACTCGACGATTGTTGAGCATGAACCACCGTCACAACAAGAATAATATTAAGTAAAGTGGTTTGGCGAAATGAATGGTGTCCTGTGACGCGCGTCGTAACCTGAAGAATCGCACACATTTTGAGCTTCGTCCTAACATGTCTCAGTGCTCACTTTTCTTTTTTTATTTTGCCACTTCAGGAGGATGTTTCCCGCCATGCGAGTCAAGATTGCCGGCCTGGACCCTCACCAGCAGTACTACATTGCCATGGACATCGTGCCCGTGGACAACAAGCGATACCGGTGAGCCGCCACGCTCGCCGGCGCGCTTCGCAAGTTTGTCAAAGCCCATTTGTTGTCGTCACTCGAGCTTTCATAGCAGCCGCGACGAAGCACTTGCGGGAGAGGGTAAAAACCGACCAACCGACCCGCAACCTGAAATGACCTGAAATCTTTTCCAACCAATTTCGTCCCCTGCCGCCATCTCAAGTCTGACTCGGACTACCCTGGAATTGGAATGAAACCGCGCACTGTCACATGTGGCGGCGTGAGCCGAGGAGGAAACCAGCCCGGGACACGTTGCGCCGCAAAGACTTCTCGAATTTCCTCAAACACCTGTTTACTCTCAACAAAACAGCGGTTCCTCAACTTCACCACATGCCACTCGTGAGCACAGCGGTCGGGTTAAAATATTTTAAAAAAAGAAAGAAAGAAAAAAAACAAACAACGGTTCTCAAAGTTTAAGGAAAAAAGTGACAGAGTGACGTAGTCACTTAAAGAGGCGCCACCGTGTGGCGCGATACCGTAACTATCAGAATGGACGATGAATATAGCGCGTCAAAACATCGGAACGCTGTCGTGAGCTAATCATGCCACGCAGTTACGATCCCACCAATTACTCGACGGAAACTAGTTTGCGATTTCAGTAAAACGTCCTCCTCCCAAAATGTGAAAAAGATGATCGGTGATGAAATTGTCTGTCCTCCAAACGAGCTCCCGAAATGGCGCCGAAAGGAGCGTTTGTTTTCCAAGCGAGCCGCAGCCAAGGGAGGCCGGCCCGGCAGACGAATGTCCGCTCGAGGCCAATTCTGAAAGGCTGGGCCCCCCCGGGCCGCCATTTGCGCGGCGGCGTGATGGATGGCTCTGGGAACTCGACGAGACGGACGCCTTTTTGGCTTGAAGTCGCAGCCGGAGCCCTTGAAATGGAGTCGGCGTATTCGGGCGGCCCAAAATTCCCGCCGGCTGACACAAACAGCCGCGGCGTTCAAGTCATCTCACGCTTCGTCGTTTGTTTTTCAAGGTTGCATTGAGAGAAGTCATGGCACCCCTTTCGGCAACGTGTCACGTATCTTAGTCTTTTTGGGGTGAAGCGGTCTAGCTGTTAAAACGCGCTAGAAGAAAGAATTGAACGATGACACGCAATGTTTGCCGCGTATGCCAAGTTCAGGCGATTTGCTATCTTTTCGTCTCGCAATCTTTTAATGTTCTTGTGGAAAGAAACATCAAAGAATTTGGAATTATTCCAAACGTTTGGACTACGAAAAGTAAGAGGCCACGCAGGGCTTCTCTTTTTGTTCGTTGATCACATTTGACTCCGTCGAGTGATCGCGCTTGTCACGAAGGTCAATCCAACCGCGTTTGTAAAGTTTGCGTGTTTTTTTTCTACAGCGCCGGGCGCGGTGCAAACGTGGCGCCGACAAATGTCGCATTGACGCTCGTTCGTAGCGTTTTAATTTGATGAGCGTTCCAATCATTCGAGATGAGTCAGCATCTTTCCCCGAAACCTCGTTGTCGTTATTCTTGTGTTTTAACAGCGGCAATTAAAAGTGTTGACAGTCGAGAAACTATTTGCAGTTGTTGTTGACATCTCTAATCTGTGTACTCTGATGGAGAATATATGGTTGGCCTCGTATTTCGGGGAACACATGCGTAGGCTAGCTGCGCGACCGCATTTAAAAAAAGATAGAAATCTATTTTTTTTTTTTCAGCGCCAACGAAGCCTCAATTGAAAATGGTGATTTACTGAAGAGATGTAAGCCTTTTTTGTTTTTTTGTTTTCAAACGGCTTTGAACTGAGAGAACGCTCAAGGGCGTTAACAAAACTGACGGGAAGAAGCACGTGTGGCACATCTACGCCCTCTAGTGGTCAAAGTAGTTGGATGCAGGCCAAAGTGGCGACATGTCATTGCGCTAGCTAACCGCATAGCTGCGTATCTATCGATCTGTATACCTATAAAAAGATCTACATGTTCTAATCACAGCATATACTAAATCCTATCATGCCTCGATTTCCTGAAGCACCAAACATGTATTACAAATGAATTGAAATCATTTTTTGTTGACTTCGGATGGACGTGTTTTAAAAATGGAAAACAACCAAATACATCAAAGAAATGTTTCCCACACTTCAGTCAATCAATAAAATCCGGTAAGTGAACAGTAAATAAATCTGTAAATGAGGAAATAATTGTACAAATGAATTAGTGATGTCGTCCCGATTTAAGTAAGCGAGGAAGACACGAAGCACAATTAAGGAATGTCCGTAAATTGGTAAGTGAATCAGTTTGTGAATAAATAAGATGAATACATCAATTAACATCAAAGTTCATCCGTCCATGCATTTTCAACAACGCTCGTCGTCGCCAGTCAGCCGCAGGGCACAATATTGAAGTTGATTCGTAAAATAACATTCAAGTTTTTGATTTAGTAAAGTAATATTTAAGGAAATGGTGCACTCAAAAAAAAAAAGGACATGACATAAAGCTGTTTCAGTGAATCGGACATTTTCAAAGCTACTTATTTTCCCAGTTGATTCAAGCGAGCGCAGACTCCAGCACGGAAAGTTCCCCCCCAAAAAGGAATTTACATCAAAAAAGTATTCTTTCTTTGGCTTTTGTGTGTTTTGGCCCATTTCTCATCCCGGGGGCTCCCATTCCACCTTTCCCGCTCACCAAAAGGCCCATTTGTACTTTTCATATTTTTCTGCATGTGCAATAAAAAAAAAAAAAAAACCTACAGGAAGCTGGATGGGCGGGAAAAATGAGCGTCTGTTGACACTGAACACGAAGCAGCATTGCGCGCACCGGAGCACGCCGACGTGAAATGAGCCGAGCCTGACAGAAGGCCCGCGCGGCGTCATCTCCCCGAAGGATGAAGATCGCTTTGAAAAGCAAATGGACCAGCGAGTCGGAATCGTGATGCCAGACCCCACAGAGGTTGCGTGGGCAAATCCAAAGCGAGCAGTGGAAATGTTGGCTGCCGCCTGCGATTCTGGTTGACTCCCGAGCACGGCTGAGTCAACCGCATTTGTGGAGAACCTCAAAAGCGCCACCTACTCAGGCTGAGAAGAAACGAAAAGAAATGCCTCCCGATTTTCCCAGCAGTAAAAAGAATGGCCGCCAACTGTCATGATGGTTCACAGTCGGCATCATGGCAGCGCCCAGACCGAAAAAAGTGGCTCCCATCAACAAGCCCCCCCCCACCGTTACAATTAAGGTCAACGAAACGATCCCAGATGCCGTTGTTCACACGAGGACAGAATGAGCTCCGGAATCCGTTGGTTGCCGACTCCACCGGCAGCAACCGCTGCGGCATGTTGGGGGGGGGGGGGGACACCTTTGTTTTCCCCAAAAGAAAACAAGTCATGGCATCGATCCCGGATGCAAACCTTCCCTCACGGATGTTGTCGAAGAACGGCGCGGCTTCCCGAACAGCGGCTCACCGTGATGTTTTTTTTTTTTTTTGGGGGGGATGCGCAGGTACGTGTACCACAGCTCCAAGTGGATGGTGGCGGGCAACGCCGACTCGCCGGTGCCCCCGCGGGTCTACATCCACCCGGACTCGCTGGCGTCGGGCGACACGTGGATGCGGCAGGTGGTCAGCTTCGACAAGCTCAAGCTCACCAACAACGAGCTGGACGACCAAGGACACGTGAGTTTGCGCAACTCGACGTCGCACGTTGGATTCACCTGCCGCTTTTGGCGCCGGCTTGGCATTCTTTTGCCGCTTTTTTTTCTTGGCTCGCCTTTTGCCGCTCGTCCGTCCGTCTGCCACATGAAGGGACAAACGTTACTTGGGAGCCTTCCGCGCCTTTGAGGGCGAACTGGCTGATCCCGCGCTCGCCGCACGCGCTGCCACGATGTCTCCTCAAGGATCGGCTGACACTCGAGTCGTGTGAAATGCTGCGACGTTTGGGTCCTTCTTTGCCAACTCTTTGTTTGTTGCTATTCCCTGAAGGAAAAGCTATTAAAAAAAAAAAAAAGTCAACTTCAAAAATGTCTCCGGATCCAGACGATGACGAACTTGCTTCCCAAAAGAATTGAGCCAAACTGAATTTTCAAATGACAAACGCTGCGATGCACGAGCACGTATGTACTCGACTTTCTGCTCACGTTAGCCCGCCCCTTTACGTGCAGGACACGCGTACGTTGATTGCTATCCGTTTGTCCCTTTCCATGGAAAGTCAACATCTGCCTGTCCCTTCATGTACATCGGCATGACCGTGTTTGTCTATTCACATGCGTCGCTCACGCATGAATGACAACGCAATCCCGTAGGCGGAAGAACGAATGCGCTTTGGTTGCCTTTTTCCCGCAGATCATCCTGCACTCGATGCACAAGTACCAGCCCCGCGTTCACGTCATCCGCAAGGACTTCAGCAGCGAGCTTTCGCCCAACAAGACGGTTCCGGCCGGCGAGGGCGTCAAGACCTTCAGCTTTTCCGAGACCGTCTTCACCACCGTCACCGCCTACCAGAACCAGCAGGTACCGTCTGCCGACGCGCCGCGCGCCTCGCGCCGCGCCGCTTGGGCCTGCGACCCGCGCTGACCCGTTGGGGTTTTCCCTCTGCAGATCACCAGACTAAAGATCGACCGGAACCCCTTTGCCAAAGGTTTCCGGGACTCCGGCAGAAACAGGTGCGTCCGTGTCCTTGCTGGATCTATTTTGACACTGGCGTCGTCTCATGACTGGAGCGCGGGATGCCGAGTCTCTGTGCGAAAGGTGAAAGCGGAAACCCGGGACTGGGGTTTGAGGCCTGGCACCCACCGCTTCTTTCTCTCACCTTTGCGGCGTCCGACAGCTAGTCGGGGGTGAAGACGTCATCGAGTGGCTCATCCGACTGTGGGTGGCCTAATCTGTGGTTTGAAATGGGGGAAAAAAAAATGGAAATCTGGGCCCGATGCTCCCTTCAGAAGAAGCCCCCGTTGCGTCCATTTTGTCACTGTCGGGCAACGCTGTTGATGTCGTCGTCATCCGATTCTTGGACGTCTGTGCCAAAGGGAGAGGTGCAAACCCGAGACCAGGATGTTACGTTTGCCGGCTGAGGCTCCGCCCCCTTTCCCGGCGGAAAGCCGGGAACTGAGCTGCGAGCTTCGTATCCAACGCTCATTGTGCTTCTGTTGTGTTGACAGCGAGCGTTGGAAAAGTGTCTCTCCGTGTGAAAAGGGTCGCACCAAAACCGTCCCCGCTGAGCCTCATTTCTCCCGTGGCGATGGCGTTGAAAGCAATTGTTACGGAGTGATCTTGATTGCGCAATGCTACGTCTCCGCGTGAAAGCGCAGCGCAAAAGCCGGGGCGGCAGTGTCGGACTTCGCCCCCTGAAGCACGCCGCCTTGCGTCGAAGCAATTGTCACGATTTAACAACGCTGACATCACCCGAGTCAAAGCGTGTGCGAAAGTGGCTGCTGTGGATGAGCGGCACAGTTCAAAGGTCGAAGCCACCCCGTTTGATGAGCGCCTATTTGTCAGAAGCGGCAGCGCAAAAGTCCCGGCGAGGCCGACGGTTTTCTTGTGGTGACCTCATCCACTACCTTGCCTTTGAATCAGCGTGTTGGCGGAATTGGGGTGCGGGGCGTTGAACATGAAAGCGAGCCGCCGGCATCTGCTCCGCATTATTGGTGGGCGCGGACATCTTTTTTCGCTTCTCGAACAATAGCCTTGGTGATTTATGGCCCGGCGTTCAAAGGAAAAAACAGCAACACATGAGAAGATAACGCCGACTTTGCGCCGGCAGAAAACGCTCCGAGGGCCCGTCTCCGCGTCTCGAGTGCCGTCGCAAACCTTTCCGGCCGACTCCAATAAAGATGCTCGGCCCGCCACACTTTTCTACCGCAAACTTCTTTGACTGCGTTGCCAAGCAGGTGACGTCAGGAAACTTACGGCAAAGAAGATTTTTATTTTTACCCAGGAAAAAAAATAATAATAACACCACGAGCACGGTAATATTTTGCGTGCAGCTGTTGAGGTCAAGTTCAAAATGGTCGTTAAAGTTAAAGAAAAATAAAATAAAATTATGATTATTATTATTATTATTTTTTTTTTATAAATGCGAACTGGCTCAAACTTTGACTGAGGTCCGCCGCACAAATGGACATGGACGGCGGCAAAGGGAGCCGTTGACACGCAAAGCCAATTAGCGTCAGCGCTAACGTGCTGCCGCAGTCGCGCGGGACGTGTCGGCCGTGAAATAACTGGCGCAAATCGGGCTCGTCGCAGGGTTTGCGTCCTCGCTCTCCCGCGGACGTCTGCGCGGCGTAAAACACTGGCTGCCTTCCTCTTCAAGGGCTCGGGTTTCCCGCGAGCGGGGCTTTGAGCTCTGCACCAACGCGCTGGACGCTTCCGCTGCCTGGAGCTCATCCTCGCGATTGCTTTCAGTTGACCGCCTCCGTTTCCTCTCCCGTCTCCTTTCAGCATTACGCACGACGACGATGTTAATTCTGGCCAGGCGGCTAATCTTAGCATTAGCCGATGCGTCGGACTGAGGGTTACTACTCCAAGCGGCTCATCGGGGCCGCAAGTCATGATTATTTTGATTCATCTCTCAATTCTGTTCTTGATTCATTGATGAATCCGAGACAAAGAAAAACTTTGGAATGTCCCACGCTCAACCCAGGACATTCTTTCAATTGGACTGTCGAAAATGCACAAATGGATCGTGATTCCGTGACCGCTTTGGTCAAGCGCATGCCAGAACATTGGCAGACATGTTGCGGATTGTTTTCAAAAGTAAAAGCAGATGTTTACAAATGTCTCATTTGTCTTCATCACCGAGACCGTCGTTGCGCTCTCACGGACCGCTTTGCAAATCCCACCGCCGAGGGATGGAGCTCGACTCGGTGTGGCGTTCGGGGGGGGGGGAAACGTGCTTCGGGTCTGGCCCTCTCTCCGCAACCGTCGCTCGCTTCCCGCTACGACTCTTGCGGATGCCCGACACGACCAGAGAAGCGCCCGATAGTTTTGCCACCCGCGGCCTCCGAGCTCCACGCGACTCGAACAGCCTGACAAAGGAAACATCAAAGTGGAACCGGAGACGCTGCCGCGCACCTCCCGTCTGGGCTTTTTCCTTCCGGCGTGCGATTGCGTAAGTTCGCCGTCGCGCTTGCCAAGAGAAAACCGTCCCGGGCCGAAATCGGCCCTGTGGCGAGGTCGTTGGCCGACCTGCCGTCGCCTCGCGCTATCCACCTGTTCTTGAAAATTTTGAAATTCTGTCCTCCGCCGTGAAATCAATGTTTGCTGCACACGTGAGGGGAAAAACACAGCCGAGTGTTTAGCTGAACCAGTCAGAGGACGGAAACCTTTTCGGTGAATCTAAAATCTGATTGGTTCAAAAAAAAAAAAAAAATAGTTTCATGACACAGGCGCACTCTGAAATGAAGACAAACGAGTGTTGGGAAGGCACCCGATCACCAAAGCTGCGTTGATACTTGGGGCCACGAGTGGGCCCAGCGAGCACGTCGCTTCATGTTTTGCCCGCCTGTGTGTGTTGCGGCTCAGGACGGGCCTGGAGGCCATCATGGAGACGTACGCTTTCTGGAGGCCGCCGGTCAGGACGCTCACTTTTGAAGACTTCACCAACATGCAGAAGCAGCAAGGTCAGTGCGCACCTTCCAACGCTGGCCGCACGGGGCCCCGATTTTTGCAGCGGCGAGTCAAGTCGGGGCTCACGGACAAAGTTTATTTTTATTTTTTTTGCTTTTATACGGATGCAGGAAGACGGTCGCGAAATGCTCCAGCGTGCCTGCGCATGGATGGCTGTACTCGTATGAGAAAAAAAAAAAGAAATAATTGGCCCCATTTTCTCGGCGTGTTAAAAAGTGAGCCCAAAAATGTGGCCGACTCTTGCCGCTTTGGAAAGTCTCCAGCCCGCTTCTAAATCGCGCATCCAAGTTTGAGAAGCGGCGACTGTGGTTGTTCCACTGTTGCTGGGCATTTTCCTTCCATATCACACACTTGAAAAGGATTTGCACGGTTTTCCTGGCCATTTTCTCACCACATCTCGCGCTTGAAAAACAATGACGGGGACCACCCGACACCATTTTCTTGCAACTTTGACAGGAAAGCGGCTCGGCTGCAGCGCGACCATTCAAACTGATTCCGGGGGGGAGGGGGAAAAAAAAACGAACCTGTGACTGGGACCGTTTTTCTCAATCTCTGGCCGAAACTGGTGCTGCCGCGCTCCTGAGCTTCCCCCGCACAAGTTGCGTCGCCCCATCCCACAAGGATGACTCCGTCAAATTCTTGTGCTGGCTTTTTCGGAAGTCGGCTAATTTGCTGAAGTGAAAATATTGGAAGGGTTCACGGCAAAGCTTTTGGCGTCGCAAAACACTGTCAAAACTGCAACAAGTCAAGGAAAACCTCCATTTCACACGTCCAATTCGTCCCACTTGTCGTCAAAGGCATCTGCCGCATGCTGTGGTTTCAATTGGAACCCCCCCATGGCTAAAGCTACGAGCTAACGCCTTGGAAGAAGCAAATGTTTGGCTTCATCAAGTCATCCACACCTATTTGGAAACGCAATCAAATTGTTGACAGACGGCGTTTGACTTGCACATTTCGGGCTCTCAAAAGTTTGCTCTTCTCTGATTTCTGTCGTCCTCCGCGACAAACATCTGCTTTTACTTGGGACAACAATGCGAAACATTTTTGCCAATGTTTAGAATTGTGCCGAGTTATCCTGGCACCGCGCCAGCCACGCACAACTGACGGGCCGCGCTCATCGAGGGCGATGGAAACGGCCGAGGATTTTTCTCGTTGGAGCATCGGAAGTGAAACGAGTTCTCTCGCTCTTCAGTCGCTGCTCAAAATGGCTGTCGATGAATTTGATCAGCGATTAGTTGTCGGGCAATCCACCCGTCGTGGCAGCAGGCAGAATCCGCCCAGCCGCGAGGCACTCGCATGATTTTGTCGGGCCTTTTTTCACGGCGGCGTTCCTCGCGGACGGCGTCCGCGTGAAAGACGGCAGCGCCAGCCTGGACGCGGCTGCACAAGTGACGCTTTGTGTGTGTGCGTGTGCGTGTGTTCAGGCGGCAGCACGGGCACGTCGCCGACCACGTCCAGCACGGGCACGCCCTCCCCCTCCGGAGCCGCCCACCTGCTCTCCCCGTCCTGCTCGCCGCCCGCCTTCCACCTGCCGCCCAACACCTTCAACGTGGGCTGCCGGGAGAGCCAGCTGTGCAACCTGGGCCTGTCCGAGTACCCGCCGTGCGCCCGCGGCAACATGGCGGCGCTGCAGGGCTACGGCGGCCTGGCGGACGGCTCCTACGGACGCCTCCAGGCGGCGGGCGGAGGCATGGCCACCGCCCAGCCCGCCGACTCCTTCTTGACGCAGAGGACTTCCTCCTTGATCGGCATGCAGGGCGGCGCTTCCGGCGGAGGCGGCGGCGGCGGCGCTGGCGCTGGCGGCAAAATGGATGCCTACGGAGGCCAGCTGGGCACCTTCCCCGCCTCGCAGCTTCAGTACGTGATGCAAGCGGGCGCCGGCGGGTCCGGGGGCGCCCCGGCCGGCGCTCCCTCCGGATCCTCCCCGTCCTCGGCTCACGTGTTCGGCGGGGGCCCCCACCACCACCACCACCACGTGCAGCAGGGCTCCTACAACGCCTTCTCCCTGCACAACCCCTACAACTTGTACGGATACAACTTCCCCGCCTCGCCCCGCCTGGCCGCCAGCCCCGAGAAGCCGCAGGGGGGGCTGCTGTGCTCCTCCGCCCAGGCCGGCGCCTTTGCCGAGCGCCAGTACCTGTCCAACGGCAACATGGAAACCATGCACATGATCGGCAACGGCGGCGGCGGCGGCCAGCAGCAGGGCGGCGCCGCCTGCGACGGCCGCCAGTATGCCGCCCCTTCCCAGATGTCCATGCACATGGTGTAGAGACTCGGGGATTGTGGGGGGGCACACAGCGTTCTTCTGACGCAAAATCGGAACATTTTTAACCTTTTAAAAAAGGATGGGAGCTTGCGAATGCGCCCCCTCTTCTTAAAAAGCTCTTCACGGGGGTGGCCTCACGACTATTTAAGGTGATTTTGGGGGCGGCAGCGGGCGGTCTCAGGTTTGGATGCTTCAGGTTGGAAGTAGGGGTGGCGGGGCGCGGCAAAGGGGCTACGCTTCAACAGTTACGCCGCCCGATTCCACTGCAAGCGATTGAGTGTGGGGAGAAGGGGGGCATTTTCAACGGGATCCGGGAACTCGTCTTTTCGGAGATGTGAACGCCCGATACCGACCGCCGGGAACATCCGTCCACCCCACAGCAAAATCCCTTGACAGACTGAAACCTGCCGCCACCATTTTGGAGTGAATTATGTCTCTTAGCATATATATATATATATATATATATATATATATATATATATATATAAATAAATAAATAAAATGCCGAATGCAATCACTAAGCTTAAACGTGTGAAGTTATCAGCAATAGCAAAGCAGAGTTGCTCAGGTGTGTGTTTTGTGGTATTTAAGTGCTGAGCAGTCCACCGGTTGTTATACAAATGGGTGACATAGCAAAAAAGAGTCCATTTTTTTGTGCAAATGTAAATAAAAAAAAAAAAAATGTGCCAAGCACGTAAAAAGCTCAATAAACATTTTAGTTCACGGATGTCTTTCAATGGTTTTCCTTTCCTTTAGCTGTGTGACGGAAGCCGAAGCGAGGCACCAACATGGACAGAATTCACCTTTTTCGGGGGGGCGCGGCTTCTAATCCGTTCTGGAGGATGGCTCTACTCCAACACCAAGCCAGCGGCAGAAGTCTCAGTTTTGACTTGCTACTAGGCTGTTTTTTTTTTTTTTTTGCTCTCCCAGGGCTAAAGGTTGGCTTGACCGACACAATAAGGTGGGGGGGGGCTGAGAAAAGGATTCATACATACTGTACCTGTATATTTTAGAATGTCAAAATAAGATGCTGGAGGGGCTTCACGGCTTTTGGCTCCGGCGCTGCGCCGCCCCCTTGCCTTTCACACAGAACAAATGCAGTGTGCGCTGTGCTGTGTGCGCGACGTTCACCGCGACGAATGCCAAAGATGGAAATTTACGGTGGCCCTCAAGGCGTCCTGAATAAAATTGCCACGGTTGGTTGACGTAGCCGTGCGTGATAATATCGCATGATGTCACGTGATGTGCTTTTTCCGCACACGAACGAAGGGCGGGAGGCCCTGGAGTGACAACGGCGATTCGATTCTCATGAATACGGTGATCAAGTGGACGGGGTCCGCGCAATTAGTCGTGCGTTACGCCGACGAAAAATTCTCTCCCTCCTGCTGACCGGCCTGCGGGGCCCATGGGCATCCATTACGCGCACGCGATTCCTTTCTGCCCGATCACGTGAACACGACCCGATGAGGACCACCAAGACAATCGGAACCACCTGTTGTTTTCATTCTCGCCGAGCGGGAGGGACGTTAAATAATGAGCGCGGAGGAGCATGATTTCATAATTTTGGCTGCGCGCCACCCATGCGGACGTTATTTCCAGCCGCCGGGGATTCGTCAGTGACATCATGGACCTTGCGCCATCCATCAGAGTCTCTCAAGTGGAAAGGAAGGTCCTGGAAGCCTTTCATCATTCCCGACGCGGCGATGACGGACGAGTGAGCGGGCGGCGGGCATCCGACACCCGAGCGGCAAATAAATCGCACGGCGCAGGGTTGCGGTGGCCCAATTTGAGGCCGTCTTCTTTTGGCCTCGCCATCTCGAACGCGCTCGCGCTACAAGAAGGCCGCGCTTGGCAAGAATCTTGGATCGGACCTGCAGAAGCTGAGCTGCGGATCGAGCCGAGATTCCGTCGGTGTAAATTATTGCCCGCGGCGGACGCCGATTTTTGCCTTTGGCAGTTTGGACACGTGTTGAAGTGTTCAATCAAAAACAAACGGCGCAAAAGTCTCCCAGACACGTCAAGTCAGCTGTGAAGTGTCAGCAATGCGCTGGACCACATTTCTACATCAACATCATCGTGAAAATCTGGATTTCAACTCGAGACGGTCATGCCCCTTGATGATTTTGCGTTCAGACTTTTGCACTTCGTACTTCTCAAGGAAATTTGGACGACCCAAACAATGACACCGTCAACTCAATTGGACCTTTTGTTTTTAAATTTGAGACGGAAGTAAACTTCATGGAACCAGTCATCCGTGACCTCCGCTTCGTCCTCACGAAGGTCACCTAATTTTGGGCAGGGGGCGGAGTCCGTCCTCAACTGGTCGCCAGCCAATCACAGGGCACAAAAAAGCCATGCCGGCATGGAGTGAACATGCAAACTCCACAGCCGCAATCGAACCCTCCACCTCTGCACTGTGAACGGGAATGTTCACCAGGAGACCACCGGGCCGCCGCAAGTAAACGTATTACGATCTTTTTTTTTTTTTTTTGCACTGATTCCGACTGCCCTTTGTTTTTTTCCCTGAGCAAATACGGTTTTCAGAATGTCATGATAATAATATAAAGTTCATCATAAATGTAACCAGGTGAACCATACTTGGGCTTCGGGAGTGAATTCTGCCCTCGTGTAATAACTATCTCACTGTCACTTTAAGAGGAGCGCGGAATAGAATCCCGTGGGAACACGTAGCGCGAGTGAGACTTCGACCAGGAAGTGAAGGGAAGGCGAAATGCCCGCTAAGGCGGCGAGTATCTGAGCTGCGCGTGCGATATTCAGGTAATCGCTAACTATTTTGCCATCATGCAGGTTAGGTGTTATATTTGGACGGATGATTGATGATTTAAATGACATTTGTCGAGTACAATATCGTGGTTTTGGACTTTGAATGCTGCCGTGTGGTGGGTCGCGTGAACAGCCGAAGTGTTCTCAATGACATGCACTGTTTTATGTGTGCTTTGGGGGGGAGATGAGTTGTGTTTTTCCAATCCAATTGACGTATCTCAGTCTAACCCTAACCCCCTGATGAAAATTTGGCACCACAAGCAGGCTCCAATTATTCCTGAAGAATGTTTTATTTGGACAAAAAAAAAAAAAAAAACAAATAACAAAAAAAAAACATTTGATCAATTACAAAAAAAAAGAAAAAATCAGTTGGCCACCACTTTCAAGCGTAACCAACACCAGACTGAAGCTTCTAAAGAACAGATGACTGGCTACACTTGGTAGCCTCGGGCCGTTTTGCCTCATTTTTGCGACATGCGCGTGCGCGCGCGCGCACACACACACACACACACACACACACACACACACACACTAAAGCCCCTGGATTCAAAGGAGATGTTGGAGATACGGTCGACCCCCATAGGCAGGTGTTTCTCATTTTGAAAGGCGCCCCGTTGAGAAGCCCCCGTGTCTAAATGAGAGAAGTCCGTTTGGGTGGGCGGAGCCCTGCCCCCAGAGGTCCGGCGGATAGTGTGACTGACCACGCAGGTGACCCGGACAAACCCGAACCCCCACTCGCAAACAAGGTGACACTTTGGACTAAGCCCGCCAGTAGGAGTTGTTAGCTTGGAATGGCGGTCGCACTTCCAAAGTGCGCCAGCGCCCGAATGCGCTCGGAACCAAATTGGCCGACTTGTTGTTGCATTTCGCTCCTTGAGAGTTTTCCCGTGCGGCCCCGTTTTGATGGACACGTCAACCCAATTTCAAGTCTTTTGGTGAAACGGGTGTTTCAGGAATTCACGCTCAAAATGAACCGAACCGAAACCATACCAAAACGGGAAACCATCCCTCATCCTGATGAATTTCCAGGCACGGGTCCTTGAGACGTCCCGTTATGGTAAGCATGAAACTGGTGCACTGGGGCCATCTGTTTATTTCTCTGGTTTATTACTTGTCAGGAACTCCCGCCACTGTTTTTGCGCACCGGGCTAAAAAAGCGTCCCACCGGAGTCAGCGTCGGTGTCTTGAGGGGCGTTAGCTTTGTGGGGTGCGAGCAACGGTAGCCAGCTAGCGCCCGTGTAAACCTCACACCTTAAGAGACGCGGCGGCGACATACGCTCATGCGGCCCGCCGGCTTTTAGCCGCCTTGTTAACAACGCGCTTTGCGCCACCCCGGCCCAGACGCCCGCAGCGCTGACGTTATCGCCTGGCTTTTCTCTTCATGCGCCAGGGTGCAAGGCGGCCTTTTCATGCTAAGACGCGGCTGACCGCCAACAGCCAGCAGGAAGGTGAGCCTCTTTTAGACGGCCAACGGATGCGAATGGTGCAGCCCATGGACAAAGTCAAAACGGGTAAATTCCCGCATTTGGAGGTAGAGCGAGGGCCGCCGCGGCCGCCGTAGGTAGCCCTTGCAGAAAGTGAAGAGAAGAAAAACAAAATCGCCCTGTTACAAGGTCGTCGTTCTGTATGAACGACACAGACACGGAAAGGGTGACCAAAGTGAAGCCGGCAATACTCGGCATGTGAAAAGTAGGAATAGTGCTTTCGTCATTATTGTTCGGGCTCGAGGTCTGCGCGGCCCAGTTGGGCCGCCCGACTCCAAGTCACATGCGCGCACGTATGAATGCACGTGTGTATGATCCCCTCATCCCGCGGATAGACTGAAGGGCGGGCCGGGGGCCAACCAGGAAACAGGCGACCGGTTCAAACGCGGCCGACACACTCTGCGGTCCAATTTTATGTGACAAGCGTTGTAAAAGTGATTGATGCCGCGCATGTGTGCGCTCCTTCATTATGCCACAATTTGTAACCGTCGGGGGGGGCAGAGCTCGCTGTTGGCGTTGGGGCTACGCTGCGCTTAAACAAACTTCCTGTGATCATTACAAATGTTTTGAAGGTAAAAGTCTGAGCTGCCTCGGAGACCACTTTGTTCGGGCTTGGATTCGTACGCGCCGCGTCCAATTTGGAAGAGATGGCGTTCGCGGCTCTCTGATTAGTGACCGACCGGCCAAAGCCACAAAGCATCCAACAAAGGTAAGCGACCAAGGCAACCGAGGGAAAAGGTAACAAACCGACCAACTGAGCAAAGAATCAAGACCAACCCAAGTAACCCGCAAACCAACCGCGAAAGGACTGAACCGAAACCAAAGCGAACCAAAGTAACAAACAAAACAAAGTACTGCAGCAAACTACCCAAGCAAAGTAGTAAAGCAACTTTTCAAGTCACATACCAACCAAAGTAACAAGCCTGCCAACTTCCTGAGAAAAGTAACAAACCGAGCGAGCAAAAGTAGCAAACCAAAGAACGAAAGTAACCAACTCGTCCAACCAACCGAAGGAGCCGACTAACCAAAGTAACAAAGCAGCCGTCATGGGAATGACCCCAATTAACACACCGGCCGACGAGCCAACCAATCCACCCCAAAACAATTTAAAAAATAAAAGTAACACACGAACCCCAACCAGCGTTGTAACAAAGCAACGCAGAAGATGGAGCTGTCAAATGAGGGCAAATGGCAGTTCCTCCGACTTGAAGCGTTCCAGCTCTCGTTCTACCAGCGAGGGCCCGGCGCGGGCACGTCGGGCCCTCGTGCGCCGTACTTGGATTGACTGTGGGCGAACAAAGGCGAGCGCCGGCTACCCACAATGCAGCGCAAGCGCTGCCGTTGCTGCGACGAGCAGGTGCCGCTCCGTCCACATCTTCCGAGTACGCAGTTGTCCATTTCTGGGCCAACGTCTTTTCGTGCGCCCATACCACGTGAATGTATTTATACGACCGA